GAAGCACCCTTTTGAGCTAGTACAGCCATGAGTCTTCTTGGGAATGATGCAACAACCTTTTCACACCTGGATTTGGGGATCCTCTGCCATTCTTCCTTGCAGATCCTCTCCAGTTCCGTCAGGTTGGATGGTGAACGTTGGTGGACAGCCATTTTCAGGTCTCTCCAGAGATGCTCAATTGGGTTTAGGTCAGGGCTCTGGCTGGGCCAGTCAAGAATGGTCACAGAGTTGTTCCGAAGCCACTCCTTTGTTATTTTAGCTGTGTGCTTAGGGTCATTGTCTTGTTGGAAGGTGAACCTTCGGCCCAGTCTGAGGTCCAGAGCACTCTGGAAGAGGTTTTCTTCCAGGATATCTCTGTACTTGGCCGCATTCATCTTTCCTTCAATTGCAACCAGTCGTCCTGTCCCTGCAGCTGAAAAACACCCCCATAGCATGATGCTGCCACCACCACCATGTTTCACTGTTGGGATTGTATTGGGCAGGTGATGAGCAGTGCCTGGTTTTCTCCACACATACCGCTTAGAATTAACGCCAAAAAGTTCAATCTTGGTCTCATCAGACCAGAGAATCTTATTTCTCATAGTCTGGGAGTCGTTCATGTGTTTTTTGGCAAACTCTATGCGGGCTTTCATATGTCTTGCACTGAGGAGAGGCTTCCGTCAGGCCACTCTGCCATAAAGCCCCGACTGGTGGAGGGCTGCAGTGATAGTTGACTTTGTGGAACTTTCTCCCATCTCCCTACTGCATCTCTGGAGCTCAGCCACAGTGATCTTTGGGTTCTTCTTTACCTCTCTCACCAAGGCTCTTCTTCCACGGTTGCTCAGTTTGGCTGGACGGCCAGGTCTAGGAAGAGTTCTGGTCGTCCCAAACTTCTTCCATTTAAGGATTATGGAGGCCACTGTGCTCTTAGGAACCTTGAGTGTTGCAGAAATTCTTTTGTAACCTTGGCCAGATCTGTGCCTTGCCACAATTCTGTCTCTGAGCTCCTTGGGCAGTTCCTTCGACCTCATGATTCTCATTTGCTCTGACATGCACTGTGAGCTGTAAGGTCTTATATAGACAGGTGTGTGCCTTTCCTAATCAAGTCCAATCAGTTTAATTAAACAGCTGGACTCCAATGAAGGAGCAGAACCATCTCAAGGAGGATCAGAAGAAATGGACAGCATGTGAGTTAAATATGAGTGTCACAGCAAAGGGTCTGAATACTTATGACCATGTGATATTTCAGTTTTTCTTTTTTAATAAATTTGCAAAAATTTCTACATTTCTGTTTTTTTCTGTCAAGATGGGGTGCTGAGTGTACATTAATGAGAAATAAAATGAACTTTTGATTTTAGCAAATGGCTGCAATGAAACAAAGAGTGAAACATTTAAAGGGGTCTGAATACTTTCCGTACCCAGTGTACATACATATACACATGTATACATACACACGTATACATACACACGTATACACATACATACACATACACACACATACATATAAATATACATATACACAAATTGTTGGTTCTGACAGACCCCAATTATCAATTTTACGAAGCTACATTAGTTTGCGATGTAGCACTGTTGAATTGTATTGCATTAAACTGATTACAATGAGTGTTTTTAATAGTTTGTCTACACAATACAGCCTTCAAAGTGACCATACATTCAAATCAACACGTCTAAACAGTTCAAACTAAAAGGGAACGTACACAAAGGTTTTGCAGTGCTGTTGCTTTACACTGCATTCGTTTTTATCGAGGTATATCTAATAAACTGGCAGCTGAGTGTATGTGCAGGTTCTCTTCTATCACGAGGTATTTGTGATATCCGATAATGCTTTTCCTTTGTGCTACTACTGCTCATAAACCCCGTTAGTAAAGACTCGCCTCATGCCAGGAGTTGCCCAGGTAGTTTCCGTCTGTGTGGGCCACGGTGATCAGCGTCTTGATGGTGTCAATGTTCTTCTGCTTCATCTCCGTGATGCTGGAACTGGCCGTCAGCAGGGTGAACCTGGCCAAGGCTTGGACGTACGCGTCTCGCTCCAGCTACAGACAGGAAGGCCACTTTACTACACAGTCGTAGTTTCACGCTGTTTTAAACACCAAGAACGCTGAGCCAATACAAAAAGAATTATTGGCGGATCATGTGACCAGCTGAGAATAAACTAAAAATACACATAATTGACAGATCTCCAGACCTGCATGTTGAAGATGCTGGCGATCCTGATTGCACATCGAATGCCCTCCAGACACAGCGAGGCCACCTCTGGATCGTCACAGTCCTGCAGTCCCACGCTGAACGCTGCCAGCAACGGGGTCCACGCCAGCTACAACCGACAGAAATTATTATATTATTACATGACCAGGACGTCCACAGATTGTTACGTTGCCTCTCTGCTTCAATCTAATCAGTAGTACCTTGAACATGGGCCTGACATGCTCCAGGTGTGTAGCGCTGAAGAAGGGCGCCTGAGCGTGGCTGACAGCCTCCATCAGAGCTTTTGCGGTCTTTGCCATCTGCTCCATCTCCACGTTATACAGCAGACGCCGCTGCTTCTCACTGGCTACATCTGGACACAAGAGGACATGAGCATTTCGGATGTTTGTCATCAAACAGCTAACAGTGTCACAGAGAAGGACACCAGCCAGTGTGATGTTTTATTTCAGCGAGTAATCCTGATGGAAAGAAGGGAGGCAAGTACTCACTCTGCTTGGTGGACTTTGGGGTGATGGAGATCTCTTTGCTCTCCTTCATGGCAATCTTCTTGCCTGCGATCTCATCGTATATGGAAGACAGATACTCCTCAGGCAGGTCCTTGCTGTCGTTGATGCCGCGGTTCATCTTGATGTACTGCTCCTTCGTCATCTTGTTCTTCACCTACATAAATGAAGGAGATTGAGAGAGGCAGTAGGAGCTCAGTTCAGCTGATTTACTGCACACACAAAAAGAGTGATGTGTGGGATTTTAACATTTTTTACTCCTTTGACTCGATTATTTCTGTCAACATAAAAAAAAAAAAGAATACATATGGGCAACGTAATTATTACAGGCTGTCATATCACACTGGTCTGGATCAGGAAGGTACACAAACAGACTGCTGCTGCTGCTCTTTAGTGTTGTGGTGCTGTATGGAGTAGAATGCAACTTTTAATTTACTGCAATAGACTTTAGAGCTGTAAATAAAGTTATGTCACTGTCTAATATTGTCTCCCCCCCCGGCTAAAGTCTGTATGTGTGTCACGGTGTGCCATATTTCACACCTGCTTTTCTCAGACTTGAAATTTCAGATGCAATTTCCTCTGTCACGGCGACCTGTCAGCAGTGATAAATCAGACGCAGCAGCTATTTGTCGAGGGCTGAGACGGATAAGGGCCTGCTGCCAACGCAGAGGACTCCGGTGAAGAAACGCAGAGTCGGTCAGCAAAAATGTTGAACCTCGTGGGACTGTTGCCGAAACGCTACGTCACACGGCGAGGCGCTGCTGTGGCCGAACCAAATACGAGCATTCGCTGGTAGATTAATATGTGTTGCGTTAATACGGTTAGCCTGGTGATTGGAGTGTCATAAAATAACTCCTGTCTAAGAGTGTTATAAACTACTGTACAGTGTTTTGGTTCCTGATAAGCCTTCAAGCACACACTTCCTGCATCGTATTTCATCGTCTGGGCAGTAGCTGAAACAACACCCCTCCACCAAAGCCTCCACTTTTTTCTTTGTAAATAAAAACAGGGCTGTTTTTACAGAAGCCCTGAGAGGCAAGTGAGAAAAATAACTTCTAGTCTGTAAATAGTTTTTTATGATGGTGAGGAATAAAAGGTTTTGCCTGGATAGTCTTTTTAATTTCCTTTTGTTTGGCAGGTGAATCTTTTGTTGTTGTGTTCAGGAGAAGTTTTCAGTGTTTGTTGTTGTAACACTAATTTCGGCCACAAGAGGCTGAAGTGCACCATTGCCTTATGTGCCAGATAAGACCAAAAGTGTTTATGCTTTCTTCTTTCTTAAACGTCTCCATGCACTCTAAACACACGTGTGTAAGCAAGTCATGTAACATTACTGTCATGTCTTTATTTTGGATAGAATGAATGCTTTTAGTTATTTTATCGTGATAACAACTAAAAAAGGCAATTTACAAAGATTACCCTTGAAAAATATTTTTTTTGCCAAACAATTATTTTTTCTCACTTGCCCCTCAGAGCCTCCGTAGTTTTCATCTGAACGTCTTGAAATACATATTGCATTTGTCAAAAAAACATATTTTCAACGGTGCAGCTTTTCTTCCAATTACCCTGCGTAAAACCTTGGCGTGATCCTTGCGTAAATAACAACAAACGCCATGTGAATCTCAAATAAAGATCCTTCCACAGAGAGACGAGACACACCCGCATACTGGACGATACACTGGCACACATATGGTGATGACAGTGACAATCCACCGTTCTCACCTGAGGACTGTGCAGGTCTGTGGTGAGCATAATGATGGAGTACGCCAGCACATAGGCAGTGTCTGCACTGGCAAACAGGATCTGTCTACAAAAGTGGGCACATCGGGGAAACAGTTAGTAGTTAGCTTGCTTTTAAATCAAACGTAAACCTTTGTGACTAAGAATACAAAGACAATTTGACAAGCACCAACCAATCCCTCCATGCCCTTATATTTCAGCAGGAACTCTGAGGTGGGTCTTACCCCTGGTTGCACTCCAAGTATCGAGCAGCAAACTTCTCCATCAGCCTGTCGATCTTCTGGGCCTCACCAGGCAGCCTGAAGCCTTCCAGGAACGCCCTGAGTGCCGAGACAAAGTCCCGGCCGCAAAAGTCCAACTGGTCCACGTAGCAGTACATCGCTTCTATGTTGAACTTGATGTTCTCGCCCAGGAACTCTCCCACCTGGGTCTGTGGATGCAGAGGAAAAGTGGCTTGAAAAACTGCTTTGTTGCCCGAGAATACAGCGTTGTATACTTTAAATGAGTGTAATCCCTCACAGTGTCCAGTCTGTCCTCCTGATGTAAGAACTGGGCGATGTCCTCGGCTGCAGAACCCAGCATGCCCTGGTCCTGCAGGTACTGGATACCTCGCTTTGGCTTCTTGTTGAAACTGGGGAGAGAGAGCAGAGGAAAACAATCAATGTTCATCTTCTCTATACAAGTATGAAGTATAAAAGGTGAAAACATTCCACTCTGTTCCATTGATAACGGCTGATCCTGAGTAATATTGACCAGGTTGAGAAAAAAGGGGCTCACAGTTCGATGCCGTGCTCGATGATGTCCTTCTGCTGTTTGATAACCTCGTACTGCTCGGGATGGTCCGCCTGCGACAGCGCCATGATGGAGGAAACGGTGGAGTCGAGAGAACTGATGCTGTCTCGACGTCCGGCCAGCGGCTCCGGGAGCTTCAGCTCTGCTCCGTCGCTATCGGACGGATGCTCCTGGCCTGCAAACAGATCACACGCGACGCACATATGTTTAGACTCCCTCCCCCTCTCATATGCATTGTTCTACAGATTTACTGTACGCCGCACACTTACCGAGGTTAGCTTGAAGGTTTGGATTGACATACATGTCTTTGCTCCACTCCACCATACATTTGAGGATGGACACCAGACACTCCAAACCCTTTTTACGTAGGCTCAGCTCCTGTGGGTATTAAAAAAGATGATCATTTAAACATTAATATGAATAGTAATATAACACATGAATGTGAAACACTGAACCACCTGACCAGAAAGATACCTCTTTAATCAAAACATGTGCTCCTATGGTGTTGATCCTTATATTATGCAACAAAGGCACACTGAACCCTTGATTGTACCTGCAGAGGAGTCATCCCGAGCTCCTGACCACTCCGGCCCTGAGCGATCTTAGACAGGTCGCTGACAAGGCGCTCGAAGATGTTTGCTGCATTCAAGTCACAGTCGTAGTTCACGTAGATGTCAACCACGCACTGGGCATCTGGGGGGGAGGAAGTACATTTCTTGAGATACGGCAGGGCGATAATGCGATCAGTAAATACAATAATGACTTGATTTGTAGCACTGTTTTCCTGCACGGAGAGAATCAAGATGGCTGCTCAAATGCCGAGCCACTTTTACCAAAACCTGGCCAACAATGAAACTTATTTCACGACCTGTGTGTTCAATGCATCTCTGAAATAACGTCAGAATCACTCCGGAGAAAAGACGGCATGGTAGGATGATGCGCAACAACACTGCTGTAGCGCCGGGTGTGCACGCGACTCGTGCTGCTAGAACACATGATTACAGCTTCAGCATGGTCATGGGAAAATATGAGAAGCAGCTACCACCGCGAGAGTTAAGCCCGTTACAGTCTTGCACCTTGTTCAATGAATGTGATGGCAATGTCACATGTTGATCTCTGAAAAAGCTCCGGTCTGAATCTAATGCCGGCGGATTAAGATAAAAGCTGAAGCAGCACGAGTTTACAGAGGGATTAAATGCTCATCTTGTTCTGCATTATCAAGATCACTGGGATATAATTCTCACATAAGTATCATGTCCATTAAGTATAAAACACTGTCAAACATTCATGCAAATTGCATGGAAGATTGCATTTTATGTCTGACAGGGCCGTAGTTCGACTGCGTTTGTATAATTCCTTCGTCATGCGTCAGTGGATTTGTACCTGCACAGATGCGCGTTAGTGTCTGGATAACCATCCACTTGTGCTCAAAGGAGCTGGTCGAAGTCTCCAGGATGGTCAGAAAAATCTCCCGGAAAAACACCTGAGGCAAAATGGATGAGAGAGATTAAGTGTCAGTGTGACTCTTTGATCAAACGAGCTGCAACAGGTACGTTTCTCTCTTCGCTCTAAGATGTGCCAGACAAACAAACTCGGCACAGCAAAGTCTGTTGCCATTACTCTGCGTCTGTACCTCAATCTGCATCTTCAGGTGGACCTTGAAGTGGGAGAGCAATGTGAGGAAGATAGCCAGTGAAAGCTCAAAGACCTCAGGCACAGAGGAGACGCCGTTTTTGGACAGCGCCACGCACAGATACTGTTTGATGGCGTTGACGAACATCTCGTGAGTGCGAAACACCGGCCCGGCGCCCTGCAGCACGGAGAGCAGCAGCTGCAGGGACACAATCTTGGAGCGCAACTCATGGGACCTGCAGAGGAGAGGGATTGTTACACTGAGGAGGCGCATATATACATATATGTATATACGTATATACATACATACATATATACATATACGTATATACATATACATATACATATACGTACATACATATACATATACATATACGTACATATACATATACATATACGTACATATACGTACATATACGTATACATACATATACATATACGTATATACATATACGT